CAAGAAGGGAGAACAAGTAAGAGGGATTTCACAGGAAAGTGGATGAACTTGAGACCGTAACATTAAGTGAAATAAGCCTGACACAGGAGGTTCAATGTTACATGGTTTCTCTTACATGAGAAACCTAAAACATAAGTAAATAAGTGAGTAAGACAAAGGACAGATGATAGGAAACAAGAAGGCCGACTCAGGGGATGGGGGTGGGGACTGGACGGGGGAGGTGAGAGAAAGGAAGGAAAGGGATCAAAAGTGATCAATACATGTTGCATACATGGGCCAGCTCCCCAACAAGCAGTCACTCAGGAGACAGGTGAGCACCATGCAGCACTATGTACGAACCATCGCCTCCTGGCACACTGCTGCAGGGACTGGTCAGATGGCACACGGGAAACCCTGACTGCACGGTGTGCCTCCTCCCCTCTTTGCTCCCCTCAGCAGGGATGGGGTGCTGGAGTGCTCTCCCGAGAACCAGAGGGTTGCAGGCCTCTTGTAGAGAGGTACACAGTGGCCAGCTCAGAGAATTTTACAGCGTGTTTTTCCATCCACCATTCACTCACTATTTCTTTAGCTGTGGAAATACAGGAGGACAGGCACTGTGATCACATGATCCAGCTGAAGGAACTAAGATAGGAGAAGTTGGGAAGTGACACAAAGTCACACAGAAAGTAAAAGGGAGTGATTGCTTCATAACCAAGTCTTCTCACTTGAAGAGCAACAAATCCAGTAAAGCAAACATTTCTATTTGTTTTACAGATGGTGAAACTGAGGCATGGGGCAGGAGTAAAGTGAATTATTCAACCTCACTGGCAGGGAAAGGGATCAAACCTGAGACTGTCAAAGTTTAAGGCTGGACCATTTCCAGCTTCCCACACATTTGCCAAGCATGCGGGGCCTTGTCTATGTGACCTGTTGGCATTCCACGTCCCAAGCCACAGCTGAGCAGCCTGGAGCCCGAGATCTTTGCTGGACCAAAGCTGTCACTACTTACACATGTGTTTGTCCATCTTGTACACACAAGTGTGACATTCCTGTTGTACTCAGCACTGTTGTAAGCACAGGGGTCAGAAATAAAGAAGTCACATCACTGCCCCCAGAGGGCTTCGGGGACCTCCCTACCACCACACTGAGACAAGCCAGAACATAGAATAAAGGCTACCTGGACAAGAACAAAACCCTGGTGATGTGATATTCCAAAATAAACCATGGGCACCTCCACCCTACAGGGGATGGAGCTAAGAGGAAAGTCCCCTGGCAAAAGGAATTATTCCATCAGGTCCTCGAGGATTAGTAGTAGTTTTCTAGAGGAAGGGAATGCTAGTGTTTGCAGAGGGAAAGGCATTCTCTTTCTACACCTGATAAAATAAGTAACTAGGTTTATATTTCCCAAAGAAAAAGTATACAGTGGAGAAAGAAGGGAAGGAGGAAGAGAGGGGGGAGGAGGAGGAAGAAGAGGAAGAAGACATCTCGTATCTCATACCTCTCTCCATTTGTGGAGGTTAGGGTGGAGTGTCAGCTTATTGGGATTTAGGATCTACATGGGGGTTTGGTGGACCACACTTCTGTATATGTCTGGGTGCTTCATGGAGACATGCCCTTAGGGACTATGTCTGGTCCCTTGTACCTTCTTTTCAGGTACTGTTCCCTGCTTTTCTTTCTGGTTGCCAGGAACTAAGCACCTTTGTTCTGCCTGGATTTCCACCATGAAGTTTCTGCCTTGGAGCCAGCCATCCATGGACTGAATGCCTGAAACCATAAACCATAAACCATAAAATTAAGTCTCCTCTCCTTTAAATTCTATCAGACACTGTGTTCCAATGACAGTGAACCTGACTAATATACTATTCAAGGCTCTGCACTTCAATAAGGCCAGAGGTCAGGATAAAAGATGTGTGAGATGCTACCTTTAAGCTCCCACTCAGCAAGGCTGAGGAGGTAAGCTGACAAATCAGATGCCCAGCCAGAAGCCAACCTCAGACTTGACTTCTTGGTATGGGAAAGCAAGCAAGAGACACATAGCGTCTGCAGGCAATGGAGCCCTGTTCTTAAGGGAGTCACCACGATGCTATGGGTCAGAGACTTAATTCAGCATTTATTCTCCTTAGGGCTGTGACGTGGGTGAAGTAAGGGAAAAGGAGAGACAGCTCCACTACATAAGTCAAAGGGCTTACTCAGAGGTTAGTTCCAAAATCAGAGCTCCAACTAAAGTTTTCATCCTCAAGGCTGGAAATGTATCTTCACTGGGGCAGCCCCAGCTAACCTGTGGCTCAAAGGCTTCAATTCTCTACGAGGCTGCTAACTGAGAAAATTTCTCTAAAGACTCAGTGTTTCCCAAAGAAGTCTCCACTGTGTCCCAGCATCCAGGTGGCCACCCGGGGGAAGATGCTTTTGGGAAATCAATGGCTCTACCAAGGCTGTAAGAAGATGTCACGTTTTCTCTTCTCCAGCTTCTGCTCCTGGCAGGCTCCAGCACCCAAGCAGCAATGGGTAGCAGAACGGCCACGCCTTGCCATGACCTGGGCACAGGTGGGGCTGTCTCTCACAGTTGGGGACACTGGGAACAGGCGGGTGACACTGACGCTGGCAGAGCCAAGTCTCAGTCGGGCAACCTTGGAAAAGCCCTGTGCTCATGGGCAAGGGAATTGGACTGTCATCTCTTTAGGTGAACTGCCAGGCAGGCAGTCTCTGCTGAGGGCCTGTTCGTGCCCTTCTTCTCTTGAGTGAGGCAGTCACTCTGAAGTCAAGGTGACAGCAAAGCTCAGACAAGTCCCAGGGCCACCTCAGATGCCTTCATCTGCGATCCACTGCAAACAAGGTCCCAATACTTCTCCTGCCCCTGCATCTTTGCCCTCTACCGTGTCCTCTGTGGAGTCCTCCTATGCTGACATCGAGCTGGGCTCTGCGATCTGCCTTTGCCAATAAGCAGGTCAGCAAAGGCGAGTCCAGCAGAAGCATGGAGAGGCCTTGCCCTGTGAGGAGTGATTAAGTTCTTGGGCTCTGCTCTCATGAAAGGATATTCCCTGGCTAGAATGCAGGACCTGAAAAGAGATGGAAGTCATGGGGGAGCAGAAACACCCCAGTCACTCCAGCGGAATCTGACTGGCCAGCATGCAGCCCAGCCCCATGGCGGGACTGGCAGGACCACTCGGCCAACCACCCCGAGAGGGTGAACATAAATGCCTGCTACTGAAAGCCAGCTGGGTTCTGCTGTCTGTTACTCGGCCTTGCTGTGGCAGTAAGTAACAGATCCAACAGATCCGAATGTCTGCAGGAGAGCAATATGAGCATCCCAGGGCTCCGGGGAGGGCAATGAGTGTCACACGCAGTAGACAGTGGCTGGGTCTCACCAGCTTCATGACAGGGTCTGCAGGGGTCTAGACACGCCCTCCGGCTCCAGTCCTTAGGGACCAGCCCAACTTCTATAGGACAGCAGGATTGGGGGTGACCGCCCATCCTCCCCATGCTGCGGCCTCAGGGGCCCAGCAGCCTGGTGTCAACACACAGCCGGTGGCCTGTGGCCTCTGCACCCACCCATGCCTCCCCAACCCTGGCCTTGCACTCAACAGTGTGGCTCAATAGGTCTCTGGTCCCCTCTTAAAGCCCGATCTCCTCCCACCTTAAACTTACTCACTTTCCCGGCCCGCTCTGAGGATCAACTGCAATGAATTCAAAATCCCAACAAGAAATAACTGCGACACAAGCGGGCCGTGACCACCACCACCGTCGTGGTCATCTGCCATCGTGGTGGCCGTCTTTACCGTCATGATAAGCAGAGAAGCGAAGCGTACCATCTGAGTCACGGGGGCAACGCACAGCAAGGCAGTGTCTCCGACCAGACCATGGGGACTGAACTCTGGACTGGCTTTGGTTGGGCTGTGTGATCCTGCAGCAGTTACTCCACATTTCTGAGCTCTAGTTTCTCATCTATAAAGTGCGGACAATAGTACTACCTAGTTATGAAGATTGAAGCAATTAATGCAGTGTTTAAGTGCTCCGTAAGTATTAGGTGCTGCTATTACTGGATTCACACACACACTATGGGCGCCTTAAATATATTAATGCATTCAATGCCCACAAGGACATCAGACGGACTATGGAGTTTGGTCTGCTTGTGTCAGTCTAACATGTAAGGAAGGAAGCTCGAACAGTGAGAGGCCCCACCTTGCTTTGAGGTTAATACCTCATCCACAATACTGGGGTTCTGTGCAGCATCTCCATCCTTGCAAGATGGGGAAATGCTCCCGAGCCATCCCACTGCTGTACCAGATGGTAGTGGCGGCTGAGGAGCCCTCTGGCGGGTCCTGGGTAGTTCCCCTCCTCCCAGTGCCCGTGTCCCACAGTGCACTTGGCTGGCAGGTGGCCTCTGTGTACATCAAAGGCCCCGCTGGCAGCTGATACAAAGGGGCAGCGGTGCCAAGGGTCCCTCCCTTGCCAGCCACCCGCCAAGCCACTCGGGAGACTCACGGGGGAGGTGCCTGGCCACATAACCATTCCAGGTGCTACTTAACCCTGGGCCATCGGATCTGCCCCGGAACAACCCAGGTGTGCCAGCTCCAGGTGACTGGCAGGGGCAGACATCCAACTCCTCCTGGACCAACGGTAGTAGGCAGACTGCTGCCAACGTGGTGAGTCCAGGTAACTTAACCTCTGTGTGACAAAAGAGGTCGGAAAGACTGTGTGGGGAAAGCATGGCCCAAAGCTCAGAATGGACTGCTGCTTCCATATTCCACTGTCGTTCAGGGAGCACCTGCTGCAGGGCAGGCTGGGATTGGGGCCTCAGACTGAAAGGTCGTCGGACACGGTCCCAGGCTTGCGAGGTACACAGGCTAGCAAGGGGTCCACACGGGAAGGCACGCCGAACAGTGAGGGGCTTTGAGCAGGAAAGGAAAGGGATTTAAGTCCCTGCTTTCGTTGACTCAGTAACTAACAGGAAACCTGCCTGGTGACAGGTGACAGGTGCAGGGAGATGCCGGTGATGGGGGAACCCAGGGCCCTGTTCTCACAGGATTTAGATTCCTGCTGAATCTGTCCCTGGAACCACAGAAACCTCCACGGAGAAGGCCTGGGTGTCAGCTGTGCCCCGAGAGCTGGGTGATCTGGGGAGGCCAGGTGTGTCGCTTCTCAGAGCTTCCACCCCTCCTCTGTAAGGTGGGTGCGGTGTATCCATATGGTGATATGCCGGGTGCCGCAAATGCTCCCTGCAGAAAAATCTCCTAAGAGGAGAAAAGTCCACCTCAGGTTAAGTGGTGAAAACTGGTTACTATGACCACTGGCGCCTATTCTTTATTACTTTTCACATCCTGTATAAGGAATGTCCAACAGGAAATGAAATGTATACAACAGGCATTATATATGTGTGGATAAGATGTATATGAATGGTAATAAACATACCAAATATATGTAGCTTAGACACTGGCTACTCTAGGATGCCTGGACATTTTGTGTGCACCTGTGTGCTCCTGGCTGTACCTATCAGGCGAATAACAAGTACTTTCAGTTTCCTTCTGCATATCTGAGTTTCTCAAATTTTATAGGAAGATTCCCTTCCTCCCCTGGCTCTGTAGCTGGGGAACAGAGGCAGACAGGCAGTGGGACAGGGGACCACACCAGCAGGGCGCGGGGTCAGCTGGCTCCTGAGCATCCCGGGGTGCAGACTCCCCACCAAGCAACCACATCCGCAGTGGGCATCGAGGAGGCTTCCACGCTGCCCTCTGCAGGGCCGGAACTGGGTACTCTGGCATCCCTACTTACAGAGAGGCCCTGAGGCAGGCGGCTGGTGGGTCCCACGGCTTCAGACAGCACAGTGAGGAGGCACTCAGGGCAGGTCCTTCCCTCCGCCCGTCCAGGCTCTCCTCAGAGTGCGTTCCGCATGAGGTCTCCTCGTGGGGACAGAGGCTGTGGGCTGCGGGGCTGGGAGAAAGCTGAGCACATCCCTGTGGGAAGGGGAGGCTGAGAAGGGAACAGCCCAGCCGCAGCTCCAGGCGCCCTGTCCAGGCCAGCCCAGGCCCTTCACAGCCGGGCCCTTCTGTCCCTGTTGAGCAGGCCTTGGATCAGCCCGGTCCTGGAGCAGACAGGGCAGGGCGGGAAGTGGCTGTCAGGGCCTTGGCACCAGCACCCTGCCTCCTGCGCCTGGCCAGCTCTGTTGGCCGCCTGTCAAGGCTTCAAAGGAGGCTGTGAAGCAGGCCAGCCGGCCAGGTTGGACAGGTCTGCCTGCAAGAGCCGCCTGAACAGAAGGAGGTCGCTGTGGGCAAGGCTGGTGCGAGCCCAGGGCGGGACACAGGTCGGGAAGGGGGGCAGCACAGGGAGGGCTGGAGGGAAGGGTGGGGTACAGGCAGCCCTGGGGACCCACCCACATGAGGAAGACAGGGCACGGTAGGAGGCCACAGTGGGTCCCCCGAACAATGAGGGGCTGAGGCAGGCCCAGCAGAGACCAGGCCCTTGGTCTGTGAGGAACTGAAGGGACTCAGGGAGGTGTCCATGTGTTCAGAAAGTCACTCACCCTGCACTCCTCGGCACTCAGTGAACCAGAGGCATGGCAGTGTCCCGTTCACCTCCCAGCTCTGCTGTCCTCTGTGGGGCGGGGCGATCATGGCCCTGGGGACCTTCCTGTCTGAAAAACGTAGGAGCCGAGCCGAGCCAAGGACCAGAAAGGCCTTTCTCTCCGTGTCCACAGCCCTGGCACCCCAGGTTCCCTCTGAGGGCAGGCACCCTCAGCAAAGCCCAGGCGTACTACAATGCCCGCCGCGCCAGACAGCGGGAACGCAAGCTGCTTTGGGAGGGGGAGGGGAGCCCGGCTTCCTTCCGTGTGCTCTCTGCCTACCCTACCGGGAAGGCCCTGTGTAGGGCTCCAGTGCTCCTGGCCTCAGTTACCCCACCCAGAACATGGGGCTCCTGGGAATATGCCACTCACAGGGCACCAGTGGCTCTCTCCATGGCCAGCCTCTGTCTCAGCAAGGTAGCACGGCCCAGGAGTGCGTCTCTCCCTGACCCTAACAGGAAGTCATGCTGAGATCCTGGGTGATTGTAAATCATCCCTATGTCTGCTCTAACCAAAGACAGGCAGAGTGGTGCCAGAGGTCTCACCACCACTCAAACAAACGCTGTGGACGAGGCCCAGATGGTCTGGGAATGGTGCAGCTGGGCGTGGGAGAAGGGTGCCGGGGTGCCACAGTCCCTCTCCCTCCGAGGCTGGAGGTGCCTGAGGCAGGCTCTCGGGCGGCCCTCACCAGTGTTCCTGCTCTGCACAGCAGTGGGCCTCCCCCTGCTCCCCCGCTGCATCAGGTGGTGGCGGGATTATGAACTGCCTGCCAGGTAGGAGAGGGAGAGGGACAAAGAGGACAGACGGAGGCACGGATGGCAGATCCCGCCCTGGCTGGCCGCTGGCCCCTGAAGCCCGGAACGCCCAGGGTCCAATGGAAAGCATCCTGCTTCCTCACCCCGATGGCCAAGCAAACACACAAGGGTGGCAAGTGCCCAGGGCAGCCAGCCAAGCAGAGCTCCTGCCCAGCCAGTGCCAGCAGGAGCAGAAGCCCGAGAAGCTCCCGGCGCTGGCCCCATTCCCGCCCTTGGAGCTGGCAGGCTGGGGAGGACAGGCCAGGGACAGGGGACCGGACTGGGGCTTCGCTCCTCAGCCCAGGATGGTGGTCAGGATACACTGCCCTGCCGCCAGCCGGCCCTATGGTCCTGCTGACTCGGCCAGGATCCCTGAAAGGCAGCCGGAGAGGACCCAGGGCTCAGGATGGACAGCGCACCCTTGCAGATGGAGAGCCAACGCCATTCAGACCCTCGTGGAAACCAGATCCAGGCACTTTGGTGAGGCTCACTCACCCACAAGGTCCGAGTCACACCAGCGGCACTGAAGGAGGCGTCCAGCAACCTGGCCACGCCGACAACTGTGCAGTTCGAGCTGGCCAGTCACCTCCACCAGGCAGGATCCCTGCTTGGCTTGCACAGAGTGTGGCCTGGATGCTGGCCAGGGTCCCCGCCTGCAGGGAAGGGCTTAAAGAAGCTATTCTTGGCTGCAGAGCAGCCCTGGACTCCAGAGTTCGTCAGCTACCTTGCCAGCGGTGTGCATCTGCTTGCTCGCTTCCTGTCTCTGAGCGGAGTTTCTACCTCCAGATCAATTCCTCTCTGCAGAATCAAACAAGAATGGACGGACAAGAAGTGCCTGCTACAGACCGAGCACCCGACACAGGCACCACTCTCTGTCCAGCTCACTGTGCTGTGCTCCAAGTCGCTTTCCCTTGAGGAATTACCAGGCTTGCCATGGGACTCGGGACCCAAAGTATTCAGGGGAGCAAGTAAGACTTACTGAGCCTTCGCTTTGTGCATAAAACCAGAGCCTAGCTACTCAGTCTCCAATTTCCTCTGTCTTTCTGTCTTTCTGTCTGCCTTTGCTGGATACCAAGTGGATGGGAAACAGCAGTGACCCCAATCAGAGATGCTGTAAGCAGAGGGAACCGGTGTTATGCCAGACAGAACCGCAGAGGGTTACAAACTTCTCTTTATTAGATCACTCAGTCAACACGGATTTGAAGGACTGGGCAGTCCACAGGGTACCATCCTGCTCTTACAGAATTCAAGCCATCCAAGAGTTATAAGTGACATTCCTGCTGTATCAATCACCAAAACAATGCTGTGTAACAAAACCTCAGTGGCATAAGTATCAGGTGTCACTCACCGAGTGGTCAGCTTAGATGAACTCTGCTGGGCTCACTCAGGGGTCCAGGGCGTGACTCACTGTGTACTTGTCCAAGATCAGACACAGCACCCTGGTTACATTGTACATACAATCACCCCTCTGCTGGAGCCCAAGGGCTGTCCCAGAAATACCCCTTTCTTGCTGATGGAAAAGGTTCAACAGTAGAAACAAAACACTTTCCAAGCTCGGCTGCAAAGGTGTCTGCTAACAGCGCAGTCTAATGAATCACGTGACTGGGCACTGTGCAAGTTACAAGAATGAGTGAAGCACTGGGCCATTTCTGTCACCTCACCACATGGCTTTACCGATGGAAGAGGGGAGGGCCCACGATGTTACGTTACTGAAGAAAAGCAACAGAGCTAAGCATCTGAGTCAGGACTTGAACTCGGGTTTTCTGTTTTTGTTGGGGGGGGGGTGGTGCTGGGGATTGAGCCCAAGGCCATGTGTGTGCTAGGCATATAGCCTGAGCTCAGACTGTCCAGTCTGCACCAAGCCCTGGCTGGCTGCTGTTAGGCATGGCCACGACAGAAGCAGCACTTGAACACCAGCACTAGCATGAGACAGTTTCAAGCCGGCTGGGGATTCTTTGTTGCATCTTAGGTACAAATGGCCTAAGTGCGAGGGCCCAGGAAGTACCCACCTGGCCCTCTAAAGCTCTCCCTTCCCCACTTTGGAATGGAAGCAAGCAGTGCTGGGAGAAGCCGCTGGCACCAAGCAGCAGCCCTGTCTGGAGAGTGCGTGTGGATTAAGCAGTTCCACAGAAAGGAATGCAACCTTTTTTGTGTTTCCAAGCTCCATAAACCCAGGGTAAAGTTCAGCCAAAGACCCCACCTTAATTGATCCACTCCACCCTCATCCTGCCCCAAATGTCCTGCTTCCCCTGGGGAGACAGGGCGCACAGCACGTAGTGAACACCACATGCTGCGCAGCGCTGCTGGGCCGAGACAGACAGGGCCCGGCACTGGCATCTGGCGCTGAGACTCTGGGAAGGCCCCCGAGTTCCTGCTGTTGATAAACTCCTGGGGCGATGCTGCAGGTTTCTCAGAACACACTGAGCTCTTGTTCCAGAACAGAGGAGGGAGCCAGACAAGCCATCACGCCAAAGCTGCGAAGTGTTCGCATTCCCACGGGGAAAGAGCCACAAACGCACACACAACCGGCCGAGAGGGCCAGTCAGTGACAATAGTAACTAATGCCCCGCACACTCTGCACACCAAGCACTACTGTAGCTGTGTGCACCCGCGACCTCATCTAACCCCTACAGTACCCTGAGAGCCAGGCAGAGGCTGACGGTCTTTCCTCAGGTGACAAACAAGGCACAGGGAAGCCAGAGTATGGCGCCCCGTGTTTACTAAGCTGAGGACTCCAGCTGCTTTCGGCACTCTGAGCCCATGGCCAGGTCCCCTGTCCTCATGGGTGCTGCCCACTGGCCTTGACCTCACAAAGACGGGAGTCCGGTTCACCTTGCACACGGCCTCAGGACTCAGGGCCGAGCTCTGGGATCTGGGATCGTGGCCTATTTGCACTGGTGCCTTTGCAGTGCAAAACAACTTGGTCACATCACTTCGTTTCCTCCTCCCACCGCCTCACTCTGGCTTCTTGAACCCTCCCTGCCGGGCCACCATCTAATGAGGTGGCATCTAGGAAGGTGGCCCTCCTCTGCCTTCTTTTAGTCCCTCAGGCCTTGCTGGGGCAATTTCCTCCTGCTTCCAACGGGGACGAAGGAGCCTCACGGTGAAGGAGCTTGCCCAGGGCCACACAGCCAGCCGCCCGAGCCCAGCCTGAACTTGACGTCAGCCCTGTCTAATGCACAGCCCATCTCACCTCCTCTAGTGCGGTCCATGACCTTGTGTCCAAGCACTGGGGATTCGAGAGGAAGTCAACACCCAGGCTGAAAACCTGGACGGCTGTCTTCACTTGAGGGAAGGACTTCCCTGCATCCTGACTGAAGTCACACAGGATGGGAGGTGGACGAGACAGGGAGTGGGAGACACGAGGCTCCCCAGCGGGAGGCCGTTCCGGGCCAAAGACACGGTGTGTTCTGGAGGCGCACTCGGGACAGGGAAGGCCTGTGGGGCCACCAGGGCCCAGACAGCCGGGAGGCCCCGGGCTGTGCACTGGCTCGGTCTGCAGAACCTCGCTGCAGACGTGGCCTCTGAGGACAGGCCGGGCCTCCCACCAGCAGCCTCAGCACAGACTCCAGCAGGCTGTTCTTGGGTGCAACAGGGAGAGCCATTTTCCCCTCCCGATTCCATGTTTCCTTGGCTTGGGGAAAGCAGAGGGAAGAAAGAAACGAGACCTCTTATCACAACTGAGGACAGACCCTCAGACCCTCGCCAAGGACAAACCCACAGGCCAAAGATCAAGATTGCAGGGAAATGCTGTGCCCTCGTCCCCAGCCCAGGCCTCACTTCCAAGGAGGGCTCCGTGGCCAGCCCTCCGGCGTGGGTGGGAGCAGCCCAGGGCACAGGTGGGCGGGCTGTGTTCCTGGAGGGCAGGGTTGGGGGCATCCGCGCCTGAGATGGGCCTCAGTCCTCCGCATCGGGGACTCAGTGCAGCTGTGACTCCGGACGTGGTCCTTCTACTCGGGACACATGCAGGACACAGAATCGCCCTTGCCCCACCCACCAGCCTCCCGCCGCCCTCTGCTAAGAGAACAAAGAGCAAAGCCTTTCAAAGCCCGGTGCATATGTGAGGTGTTGCAGATTAGTGATGAACTGTAGAAATAATGCTAATGATGATTTTCGATCGAGAATGGGGGGTTTTCCTGCCTCTGATCAAAGGACGAAATGGTAGCCATAGAAGGAGTGGAACTGCGACTGGCTGGGAAGGAAATCAGCTCTGCTATCAGCCAGCTGCATAACCTTGAGTAGATCACTTCACCTTTCTGCACTCTGGATTCCTCATCCATAACACTCAGACATGGATAATCCAGCGTCAGAGCACTGCTGTAAGGGTTAACTGACCTAACTCATGGAGATCACAGGTGCTTGATATGTGTTAGCAATTATCCTGACAGCAATGCAATAGTCTTACTCTGTCAAACACAGTAACACACCTGCCAAGTTTGGACCACCTTCAAACTCAGCATAAGCAGCCGCTATACCCAGAAACACTGTAACAGGAAAAGTGTGCTAAAAATACTGAGGATCTTTTCCAGTACTTGGGGCATCTATTTCAAAATACAGCAAAAGGAATTCATGAAATACTCATTTAAGAGCTATTTAATGAGTGATTCAGGCACTGTGCCTAACATGATAAGCTTGCCTTTCTCCTTCCGGTGGGATGTACCCCAGTCAGCGTGTGAGCATAGGTATGCTCAGGACTCCTAAGCACTGTGCACACACCGAGCTGGGATGGTGGAAGGCCCTACTCAGGTCACTTAGGGTGTGACAGGGACACTGAGCTTCAGCACCACACATCTCAAGGGCGGCAGCTCTACGGCTTCCTGGAAGCCTGCTGGGACTCAATGGCCCACGGGCAGGGCCCTACAGCAGTGGTCCCCAAACTTTCTGGGACCAGGGATGGTTTGGTGGAAGACAATTTTTCCACAAAGTGGGGGCAGGGTGTTTCAGGATAATTCAAAGGAGCACGCGACCTAGATCCCTTTGCATGTGCAGCTCAGGGTGGGTTTGAGCTCCTAGGAGAACCTAATGCCCTGCTGATCTGACAGGAGGGGGAGGCGGAGCTCAGGCAAGGGGCGGGAGCAGCTGTAGATACAGGGGAAGCTTCCCTCTCCAGCTGCTTGCCTCCTGCTACGCAGCCTGGTTCCTAACACGCCATGGACCAGTACCAGTCCATGGCCCAGGGTTGGGGACTCCTTCCCTGCAGGACTCCCAAGAATCCTGGGGCTGAGAAAATGCAGGGGACAAAACAAGAATGCAAATGCCCAAGAGAGAGTCCTGGGAGGTGAGGACGGAGATGTCATGCTCCCTTCCCTACGAAAGGCTGTGAATTTTAGGCTGCTGGACCTATACCTGTTTCACTGAGAAGAGGCAAAGCGCAGGATGCCTGTCGGGGAGGAATGAGTCCTGAGAGCAGAGCTGCATTAGTGGGGGGCAGCTGGAAATAGGGGGCCCAGGGCTGGGAGACCCACAGGAAGCTGCTAAAACACCCCAGGGGTCTGAACTGAGGTCCAGGGAGCAGGGGTAAAACCCACTGAGTGTCGACTGCAGATGGGAAGGGGGAAGGGAGAATCTGTTCACTGTGGGACCTGTGCTTGGATGTGTGAGGATCCTCAGGAACAAGCAAAGACCCCAGGAGAGGGGCCCAGAACCTGTTCCCAGCCACTAGGGTCCTGTGTCTGTTTTCTACAGCCACTGTAACAAGTTACACTCATTCCACGGTTTAAAATCACACACTCACAAGATCACGGCTCTGGCCATCGGTGTGAGCTGGGTATCTGCTGTCTCTGAGTCAGGCTTCAAAGCCGCACTTAGGGTAAGGGTCAGCTGGCTCTGACCTGGAGGCTTCCGGAAGGGCCCTCTTCAAGCCTATTTGTGTTATTGCCAACCTGGGTTCCCTGCAGGCAGATCCTACTTCTTTGCTGGCTCTTGGCTGAGGGTCACCTTAGAAATCAGTCCATGCCTGTGAGCTCCACATGGCAGATCCAACCGCACTGCATCAACTCTCCGCACACTCAGGATCTCTCTGACTCTTCTCTTCTGCACCTCTGATCCAATCAGAGAAAGTTCTCTGCATTAGAGGGTCCCTGGGATTAGAATTCGTCTACTGGGTTAATTTAGCACAATCTCCTCACTGAAAGTCAACTGATCAGTAACCTTAATGACGTTTGCAAAGACCCTTCTGTGTGCAAAGTAACACATTCATACAAATAACACTTGGGACTAGGAGTGGACACCACTGTGCCCCCAGAGCTTCTCTACTTCTCGACAGGAAGTAGGTGGACTCCATGCCATAATGGCTAAGGTGTGCTTGGAGGGAGCTCAGTTTCTAAGGACAGGTGGAGGGGGCACCTGAGGGGCTTAAGAATGAGGGTGCACCAAGAAAAGTTTGCCACAAGGAGAATGAGGTTCTCTTCTGAACTCTGGAAATGAGCAGGAGGGGAAGGGAGGAAAAGATCACCCAGCCTTCACTGTGCCACCAGGAGCATGTTTAGAAGAGGCCATAACCAGAGCAGAGAAAAGCCAGATGTGGACAGCACTGCAGGAGTCAGGCCCTGAATGACAAGGGTCGCTGTCACCCTTCCCTGCCCCACCAGACCACCCTGCCCTTCCAGAATGCTTAGAGACAACACAGTTCATCTTCATGGAAACCCTACTGCATGAGAAAAAGGAGCCAAGAGGACTTCATGTGACACAGGAAATGGAAATGGTGTGCTGTCTAATATGATAATGGGTTTCCAACTCCAGAGGGAGAAGAGGTGAAGGAAAGAGAACAGGAGGAAGAACAGGAAGGAGGAAAAGGAAGGAAGAGAAAGAGAAGAAAAAAAAGTAGTAGTAGTAGAGGAAGCAGAAGCAGAAGAAACCAAAAACTGTGTGAGCGTGTACAGGCTTGAGAAAGCTGACTGTTACATATTCAAGAAGATTGCCAATAAGGTTTTAACCTTTAGAGGTCTCAAATCAGCCACAGTGGGATTTCATCCTGTGAGGCGTTTACCACCTCAACACTGGGTTCCCATAAACTGAGAACGGGGACTATTTCAAGAAGGGGTGAGTCCAGTTCCGAGCTAGCAGTGGTTACTCTTCCTTCTTTATATTGCTAGTTTGTAAAATGCTGTGATGGTGGCAATTCTGAATGTCCTCTATTATCTTCCAAATATAAAAAAGAATGAACATAGAACAAAGCTCTTCTGCTGCCCTCCCATTTCCAAGGCTGCCTTCGGAAGGCAGCACAACATACTAAGGACGGGTCACCTCCTGCTGACTACACTGTGAGCACCAAGCAGCCCGATCAGCTGCACTGCTGGCTTATCCCAAAACTGGGCTCACCTCCCAGGGAAAGGCCTTCCTCAGGGGAAGCCCTGGACCATAGGGCCACCTGCTAAAATCATTAGGAATCAGACTCGATCAGCAAGGAATCGGAGTGCTCCTTCAGGGCCAGCCTCCGCCAGCTGTCAGAGCCAGGGAGTTCTATGTGGGGAAGGCTGGTGGGTCCCAGACAGCAGCTCTAGGTACCTATTCTGGGTGCACAGCTCTGCTGTCTGCAAAGCTCTCTGTAGCCCACTCTTTGACACGGGCTCCTCCCCAGTAGGAGAGGACAACGTCACAGACAGCAGAGGCGCCCCAAGGAAGCGCTTGCTGCTTGACCCCAGCTTTCACTGCTGTTGCCACCTGCAACATTCTGTACCTAGCACCCTGGTACTTCTCCAGATCTCCCTTCCCCTGTGACCGCTCAGTACAACAAGCACACAGGAGTCAGTGCGTGTCACAGTGGAGACGCTGTGACACACGGTAACAAAGACACCGTTCCATGCAGCGGTGAAGATGCTGAAGATGCCGCCACATGTAGTGGGGTGAAGGGCAGCTCAGAGCCAGGGGTTTCCGGAGCCTAATCATAGAAATGGGATGGCTGCCCTTTTTCCCCACAGTATTCACTGACATCCAGCCCAGATGACTGGCGAGGGCAGCTAAGCAGGACATGGCTGCCGATCTGCAGGCACTTTTATTTGCCCTTTGGTGGCATCTTTGTCTTTTCTTTTTCTATCATCTAGCCATGTGTACAATTTCCATGCTGTGTCTTTTCCCTGTAATGTTGCCATTTTAATTGTCATCCTCCTGTCTACGTGGCTGAAGAATGAATTCTCTGCATGTGCTGCACTGCTCTTTAACCATCCCCCTAAGACGTGGGATTGAAGCTGTTTCTGACTTTTCTTGGTCACAAATACCACGGCAGCCAACACTTGTGTACATGTACAACGGGATTCTGGAAAGGATCTCAAGACAGACCTACTGGTTCAAAGATGGTTCCAAACACTGGGGATGCAGGAGCGGGGCTGGAAATCCATCCAGTCCTGGAGAATGCAGGACTTGAATGTGATCTGCAGCTCACGCACACACGGCATCATCTCTAGTTAAGAGCAGAGTCCCCTAGAGACAGACCTTGTGTCCGACAGGTGACATATCAAGGGTGGCTGTCAATGCGCGTGCAGCGGTTGATGTCCAGGTCCTATTCATTTGAGCAGGCAGCTGACTGTATCAGCTGTGCAGACAACAAAATTCTAATTGTTCAGTGACCCAGACAGCAGGAGAGTCGGCACCTCACAAACCTCCCCCCTGCTCTGCCATGAGCATACGGAGAAGGCCCTCTGGGTATGGAGACACCAGACACAGACACAGTGCGTGGGAATACACCACCCGCGATCTCAGTGTGAGGGCTAGCTCAGGTGGGGACACCTGGCTGTGAGGTCCGTCTGGTGAGCATGACCCCATCAGTCCTCCCTCTAGGCTGCACCCCTGTCCCCCTGTCCCTAACGGGTGGTGATGACCTCACAGGCCCCTCCCTGCTGTCCTCCATGTTCCTGGCATCTGAGCAGCATGCAGCTGACCCAGGAAAGCCAGGCACCCACCCTCACCTGGACTTCCCATCCCAAGGTTCTGGGGATGGGGATGGCCAGATGGCTTTCTGGCCCAGATGGCCCTGTCACGTGGGTCACACTTTCCCTGTTCAATTGCAAGTGTGTGAGGGCAGGGTCCAACCCTACTCACCTGTTTCCTTCACCACACTAACCATGCGGGGAGGGTGTAGGAGAATTCATGCTGCACCCTGTGGAATGGTTACAAAATCCAACACAATCTACACGACCAGAGCAGGAGACGAGTGGGTGTCCATCGGGATCCCGCTACTACCTGTGTGCTGGACACCTGTCCCTAATAAAGCAGAAAGACACCACATTTGTTCAGGGGATACAGTAAGTCCCCAACTTACAGACTTTCAGTAGTAAAAATGGGCCTTGCATCATGAACATTCATACAGCACACAAATCGCAGAAGTAGCTCACGGGTCTGCTGCACACGGTCACAGTTGTGCCTCAGGGCTGACGTGGGCCTGCTGTATACCACAGAGCGACAGTGCGCAGTGGTGAAGCGCAAGGCAATGCGCACTGTGCATCTGTGCCTAAAGTGTGTAAGACTCACCGCGTAGGACTTGCGCCTGAAACTGACTTACCACTGGATCCAGCCTATGAATGTTCTGCCAGGAGGGGACTCACTTTTAAGCCGCGACTGACTGTGATTAATTAGGACCCAAGAATGGCGCCCTGTGGCCATGTGCACCAATGTAGTGTTATTTATGTGCCATCTACAAAAATCCCTGTGTCTTGGGATTTCAGGTGAATTTTAACTTCCATCCTTTCTTTTTTCTGAATTATTTAGATCTCCTTAATTAGAAAGCATCCCCACCTAACTGTCGAAGGCTAAAGCTGGCAGACTGCAGCCTTCAGTCCAAGTCTGGTTGCCATATGCTCCTGTCTGGCCTGTGAGCTAAGCAAATATATTATATTTGGGAAAAAAATTAAAAGATGAATTGTATTTTGTGACATAGGAAAAGTATGTGAACTGCAAATTTCAGTGTGCAACATAAAAGTTTTACTGGCGTGGAGCTGTGCACATTTGTTATGCATCCTCTGGGCTACTTTCGCTCTACACCAGCAGGGCTGAGCAGCTGCCACAGACACCGTGTGGCTGGTAAGGTCTAGAACACTCACGCTCTGTCTGCTTACCGAGAAAGCAGGCCGAGCCTCTGCCTGGGCAAGTGTGATGGTTCCACTTACACTTGATCGTGATGTACCATCTGCTCTTCCGATTTGTGGATTTTCTCCATGCAATTTTCCTGCTCATCAAAGTTGATGTGTAATCCCCAAATCGAAAGTCATGATGATTTCAAAGTCATTTGTGTTCATTTGAAGAGTGGTGAAACTTGGGAGTCATCTACGTGCATATTCCTAGTTGAAGTTAAACAAGCAAGATGACACTCTGTTTATCACCTTGGGACTTACACTTTAAATAAGAATTCCTTCTGTGGTCTATTTAGTAACGTGTTATGTTATGGCTTGTGTCTCATGCCCTCATAGGTGGGGCTTTTCAGAGGTGGCTGGATCTACGTTGCACGATACTGGGATGAAGGGTGTGTGGTACTGAATTAGTCCACAAATTGGATTGGCATAGTCCTGAGTGTGGGTAATGGGAAACCCAACCACAACCAGAGTGTGGGTGGCACAAACCAACAGGTCTGAAGCCTGGGTGGAATGCAAGGGCAAAGATGGAGGGGAGGTGGGCTGCTTTCTCTGCTGCTGTGCCATGGACTGTTTCTTCTCCGCCCTGCCACCCTGCCTCGGAGCCAGCCTACTTGGACTGCAACCTCCTCAAACTGTGCACTAAATAAAGCTTTCCTCCTTTAGCTTGTGGGTGTCCAGTATTTTGTCCCAGCAACAAAAAAGTAACCAAGACAGTAATACCCATTTTTTGGTCTTTTGGAAGGGAGTACCCTACTTACTATAGTTCCCAAGTGTTGTGGAAATGCTGTCCAGGACTCCTAAGCACAAGGAGGCTGTGCTGTGCCTTTCAGAGGAAATGCACGTGAGAGAAGCTTTGCTCAGGCCCAAGTGATGTTGCCACAGGCCTTGAGTTCAATGTTACGGAGTCAACAATACTCAATAAAGAAGGTGTCTTTAAAAGACACACATAAGCAAGGTTAAACACTGGTGGGTTAGCAGAAATATTGTGGCCAGAGGTTCAAGGGAGCGGAGCTCTGTATTTCATCTGAGGCAATGATTTCACATTGATTAATTCAGTGCTGCAGCAACTATATGACACAACTGTGGGAAATACTGAGAACCGACTGTTTGTGCTTTTGTCATCTATCCTAGCACCCCAGCCCTCGACAAACGGTGAGTTCCTTGGGGACACAGACTGTGACTTGCTCTTATCTGTGTCTAAACACCCACAAGAGCACTGGGAGGGAAGCATGTCCCTCCTTCGAGAGCTGCACCACCTGAGGGAGTGCCGGGCAGGCAGCTCTGCTCTCCCTGTCCAGTGTCCAGCGCTTGGTCTCTGAAGCTCTTGTCCACTGTTGACTCGGGGACCTCTTCCAGAGAATGGGATGCAGCAAGCAAAAGCAAATGAGCACCTGGCTCTTGGCCCCTAGGGAACACTCACATGCTATTATTATTTGGGGAAACTTCCAAAGGAGAGGCCCTTTTATTCTTCAGAAGATTTTCACTATGCCTGAACTCATTATCAAAAACCCTTTCTCCTACGCTGAACCAAAGCCCTCTTGTACATTCTGCTCAGTTATTGGGAGAAACATCTTTAGGAAAGACAAGCAGCCATACAATCCGGAAGGAACCATCATAAAGTTGCATTAATCCACAGCTTTTGGAAAACACGATGACATGCCCAGTAAGGAAGGCTATCTCACTAATTCCATTCCAAAATGTCAAACATGGCATCAATTCAGTTTACAAATTAGCTTATAAGGAAAAATGTACAGACAAAAAAAGTTAATCGTTGCCGCCTGCCTTCTAAGTGCAAGGTCCTGAGTTCAATCCCCAGTACAAAAAAAGTTAATTGCTTTACAATATGAAGCTACATTAGGAAAGAGTGTAAGAAAAAATGTACAAATAATAAAAGGCCACAGTTCATGGCACACACACTAGGTACATTTATACCCCAACCCTAATTATTATACAGCACAAAAACAAGATTTATGGCCACGAACAGTTGCCACCCCCTTCTAGAGCTCCTCAGGAGAGTATTCCGGGCACATGAAGGGACTAGAAACCACTTCGCAGGCAAAGCCTTTAAGAAGTGCACATGAACAAACATTACTGATACATTTATAACCCAGAAGAAATAGGAATAAAAATCCTTCACACATGCACCTTACCAAGACTGAATTAAGAAGCAGAAACCATGAGCAGACTAAAAATCGACAACAAGATTGAATCCATAACAAAAAGTCTCCTATCAAGAAAAAGCCCAGGACCAGAGAGCTTCACTACTGAGTTATACCAAACATTTAAATAATATCAATTCTTCTTAAATTATTCTGGAAATTTGAAGAGGGCTGAATTCTTCCAAATCCATTCTACAAGGCCAGAATACCCTGATACAAAAACAGACACAGACACAACAAAGAAAGGCCAAAATTGTAATGAACACAGATGCAAAAATACTACATACTAGCAAAGGGAATGCAAGAGCACATTAAAAAGATTATTCAACATGACCAAGTGGGATTCATCATAGGCCTGCAAGAAAGTTTCAATAAATACGATAATCACAGTAACAGAATGAAGGACAAAAACCATATGGTCATCTTAGGAGATGGAAAAAAGGCATTTGGTACAATCTAACATCTTTTCATGATAAAGACTTTGAACACATTAGGCATAGAAGGAGTGTAAGTCAGCATTATGCATAATAAGGGTCACATATAATAAGTCAACAACAAATTTAATACTGGATGAAGAAAAGCTGAAAGCTTTCTCTCTAAGATCTGGAACATGACAAGTATACACACTTTCACCACTTTTATTCAACGTAGTATTGGAAGTCACCATAAGAGAAAGAAATAGACTATCCAGGGCTGGAGATGAAGCTCAGTTCCGTGGTAGAGCTCATGCTTAATGAGATGAGTTAACATGTGGAAGGCTCTGAGTTCAATCCCCAGCACCACCACGAAAAAAAACAAACCAAAAAAAAAAAAAAACAGAAAATGGGAAGAATAAAGAAAGGCCATCCAGATTAGAAAAGAAAAAGTCAAAATTATCACTGTTTGAAGATAGAAAATTCCTCAAAGACTCCACTTAAAAATAATTGTAACTAATAAATAAATTCAGCAGTTTCAGGATACAAAAAGTAGCTTTTTCATACAAATTATCTGAAATAGAATTTTAAAATCAATCTCATTTACAACAGTTACAAAAAAATACTTATAAATAAATTGAAACAAAGTTGTGAAAGATCTCTACAATAAACTATAATGCACTGATGAAAGAAACTCAAAGACAGACAAATGTGATTGCATCAAACTAAAATGTTACTGCACAGCAAAAGAAAGAATCTTCAGAATGAAAGGACAACCAACCTACACAATGGAGGGGAGTATTATTAATGTACACGTCTACCCATAAAATGGAAAAGTACCCCATGCGCACAATGGAAAAGTCACCGTTGTTCAAATGTCCATACTACCTAAAGCAATTTGCAGATCCAATATAACCTCTATGCAAATATCAAGGACATCCTTCACAGAACTTGCAAAAATGATACTAAAATTTGTATGGAAGCAAAACAACCTGAATAGCCAAACCTTTATTAAGCAGGAAGAACAAGCATGAGGCATCATGCTACATGACTTCAAAATACACTACAAAGCTATATTAATCAAAATAGCATGGTATGAGCATAAAAAGACACATAAACCAATGGAACAGAGAAAAAAGTGTAGAATCAATCCCATCCATCTACAGTCAATTGATTTTTGACCAAGGTGCTAAGATTACAGTGGAAAAAAGCAGTTTTTTCAAAAAATAGTGCTGGGAAAATTGGATAGCAACATGCAGAAGAATGAAACTAAGACTCCTATATCTCACCAGTTACAAAATCAACTCAAAATAGAGTAAGATTTAAGTTTAAAATATGAAACTATGAAACTGCTGGAAGGAAACGTAGGGAAAATCCTTAAGGACAAGAAAG